CTTGAATGACTTTGCATCTTCATCTCTTATCAGGGCAACAGCAAATATCGTTGACTGCAAGTGATGGTTTGTTCCAACAAACACTCCCAGGGGCATATGAAATCTGTTGGTCTTGTAAGTCGTGTTGAATGTTACGCAATCGCCGAAGTCTTGATAGGCTCCTTGGCAACTTGCATTGGACCAGAAAATGTTTTTAATTGACTTGTCCTTGTCCACTTGGATGTCATAGAAAAACTCATCATTTATTGCCTTCATGTCTTTGAAGAATGAAACAAGTTTCAATACATCATCCAAATCATCTTTCCTTGCATTCATGGCTTTCCTGCAAATCACATGCAAACATGCATTTGTTTATTTTTTGCTAGCAAAGGGCTGTGAGTAGGATGCTATTTTACATTGTAGTATGTGGGTGTTTGAATACTTACTGGTTTAGCAGGTCTCGTCCGGTCATGTTTAGGAAGTAGCTTCCATCTTCATTTTCAGATAGCATGGACATGATTGTTGTGCGCTTGACATCATGGTACTGCAGGAGCATTACGTACTCCAAAATAGTGGGGTCATAATTCTTGTGTGAGTGCAAAAATACCAGCATGTCATCAGTTTGCATGAGCTGGTGATTATGATTGTACTCAATGTCCACTGCCACGCATGTGCCATCCTCCTGCACCTTCACTCTCATTCTTGCATTGCAGCCCGTCCTCTGCGATGTTTTGTTTCGCTTCCTGTTGGCCTCTGAAATAGAAGATGTGTGTATCCCTTGGAAGGCGCAAATAAAATACTTGTGGTTGTCATTTCCACCCGTCTTCCTGATTCCAAAACCAGCGTGTCTAGCGTATCTGTTATAAAATTCCATTGCTTTCTCTACATCTTTGAATCGTATCTTTAGTCTTGGTATTAGATAATCCGGTAGATCTGGCGTCTGCAGAAAAGAAAAAAATAATCCAAACAGCACCTTAAAATGCAGTTTATGAACTTGTTATCCTGGAGGGAGCAGAAAATGTGCAGATAATACAAGATGCATATATAAATATTTTTTGTTTCACTTACGTGCGTGTATGATCGCAACTCTGCCGGTGTCGGCTGCTGTCCCTCTGGGATGGGGCATGGTGGAGTAATCATAGCAGGATGCAGCAGTGGATCACAAGGAGGAAGGAGGGCTGAAGATGGCCTCTCTCTTGTTTGCGTCCTTTTTGCTTGAGGTGGTTGTGGGGGTATTGCGATCCGGGTCTTGGTTTGCTCTTTTGTTTTGTGAAGCAATCCATCTACCTTATGCCCCGTAGAATTCTGACCTGTAGCAGCAGCAGCAGCAGGATCAAACGGTGGTAGTGTGCAGATCACTCTCCTCCGTGTGTGTGTTGCTGTTGGATTTGTCCTAGGATCCAGTTTAGTTGCTTCGCTTTGGCATTGATGAGGCACACCAGGATAACCTCCAGAGTTACACGCACGACTTGAGCTAACCCCCTCCTCCATTGGCGTGCTTGGGAGTCTGCTGGTGGATACAAAGAATCCGCGAGGGATTTCCGGCGTCACCCAATCAGGTGGAGGCGCAAACCTGTGCGGATAGGGCTGTGACCCAGCATCTTGGAAGTATCCGTGTGTTTCGGGTGTCATCCATTTTTGGTCTGGAGCATGTTGGTAATGTTGTTGGTGCGTTTGAGGTGTGACCCATTGAGGGGGTGGTGCAACGCGTACAGGCTTTGGATTGTGTACTTGCTGCTGGAAACTTCTAAGCTTCTTCATGCGTCTCTCGTCTTGCTGACATAAAAGAAAAAAGTGTCTATTAGCACACAAGTTATATCTGCATATACCTTTGTAACTGAACTTAGCATTATTCACAGCCTGAACTTCTCATATAAAAGCGGTGAGAGCCATCACACTATGCACTGAGCCGAGCATCTGCCAATGCCTTTGTACCTGAACTAAGCACCCTTCATAGAATGAACTTCACATCATGTTTTTTAATTCTACAATATTTGATTACTTATATGTACCTGAACTGAACACTCTCCACAACCTGAACTTCTTGTTTTGCAAAGGGGAAATACTGTCTATAGTTAAAAAACCTGAACCTTCATGAGTTTTTGAATGGTTGGACTGCTAGTGCATACCAACCTGACCTTCATGTCATATCACATGCATGTTCTATTTTCCTGTTTTTTTGCACAGAACCAGACACATACCAACCTGAACTCTAGCACACTTACTAATTGAACTTCACATGGCTTTTGCACATGTGAATGTGAATCCAGGCAGATTTTATAGCGTGTGTGGCCTGGACTGAGGCTCACATACTACCTGAACTTCACATGCCTGTAAGCAGGCAGGCAGATTTTACAATGTTGTTCTGTAGCCTGGACTGAGGCTCATACACTACCAGAACTTCACATGTTTGTAAGCAGCCAGGAAGATTTTAAAAAAGCTTTTGTAGCCTAGACTGATGCTCACACACCACCTGAACTTCACATAGCTGTAGGCAAATAACAAACCGAAGGAAGAAGTTCAACCATACCCTGGCTAGAAGGTCGGCCAACCTTTTTCCAGCAGCTGATAGGCCACCTTGAGAACAATTCGTCGTGGAGGTATGAGAGGAATTCAATGGCAATCCATGTCTTGCAGAGGGCACGAAGTTCATCTGCACGAAGCAAGAAGGTCAGAGAAGGCAAGATTGAAGAAGAAGGCAAAATTGGGAGGAAGTTCATGTACCGTTGCCGCTGAATTTGAGGTCGCAGCAGATGCCGCCTTCGCGGAGGAGTTGCTCCGTTGGTCGCGTCGCCCGCCGTAGCTTGCGTCGGGCCGGTCATCTGGTCTGCCAAGGCTTCGGGCGGTGATGATGGGACGAGGATGCGGCTTCCTGAAGTCCATGGCGGCTTCGCCGCGTCCAGGCGACGCGGGCTCCTCGCGCCGGCGTCCACCGTCGCTCGCTCGCCCGCGCCGGTGGCCGGCCAGGAGCTGGAGACGGAGGGGAGGCGGAGGACCTGGCCGGCCAGGAGCTGGGGAAGGAGGGGAGGCGGCGGATCCGGCCGGCCAAGAGCTGTAGACGGGGTGGGGGAGGCGGCGGATCCGGTGAAGATGGGCGGCGAGGAGGGGAGGAGGTCCGGGATCGAGTGGAGGAGCGGCGAGGAGGGGATGGGTCGGCTCGAGATCGGGGGATCAGGTGGATCGTGTCGGGGCGGCTCGGGATCGGGTGGGATGTTGTCTGGTTGAGCCGACAGTTCAGGAAAGTTCGGGAGGGGTCTATCAGGCCCTATATAGGGGCTGCTGTGATCCAAATAACTATTCTAATCTTGGGATTAGAATAGTGTTGTATATATATATATATCATGTGGTGCTGCATTAATTGTTGGATCTATTATTTTCCTTGAGCTTTGGAAGTCCCCATGTGTTGCGTGCTAACATTACACAGGGATGTTAATTTCTTTGTATCTTTGAATATTTTTGTATCGGTGCTAGAGTATAACCTTGAAACTTGGGCATGTGATTTATATTCATCTATATTTTGTGGCCACATTTAATTTCTACCGTTCCATGGTTTATGTCCAATTGTCCATCATCATATATGGATATTGTCTTTTAACATTGAGAAAATTCTTTATTTGACACTATCTTAAAATTTGCTTCCTTATTTGACACTGGAAAAAAAAATCCGTACTTGACCCAAGTTTTAAATTTTATTCCCTATATGACATTTTCGTTCATTTTGAGCCTAAATGACACCTGAAAAGACTCTTTTGCCCCTCATGTGATATGTGCGTGGGGGACAATAGCGCACACACGCAGCATCAGTGCAAGGGCAGGAGCACACATGCAGCAACACATACACATGCACCAACACGCACGCGCACACGCACACACACGCAGCAACACACATGCACGCGCACACACACGCAGCAACACACACGCACGCAGCACACACACATACACACACGCAGCAGCAGCAGCACACACACACAGGCAGCACATAGGCACGCAACAGCACACACACACGCGCGCGCACGTACACACACACACGCACGTACACACGCAGTAGCTCAACATGATGCAACTCCCTCCAATTCATATTACTTATCGTTGAAACGGGTGTATGTAGATGTATTCCAATGCTAGATACATCCAGCTGAGTGACAAGTAATATGGATCAGAAGGAGTACAAGATTTTCATAATGATGGTCTTGTTTTTTTTTTGTTTGACATCATAATGAAGGTCTTGTTTTGTTAGACAGAGGCGCTAGGTAATGGTTGGTGCTCCTCAATCTCCAAGTCAAGTTCAGAATGGCTTCAAGTGGAGTCGGAATGTCGGAAGTGTTTAGTTGTAGATGATGTTGAACCAGAAGATCGAGTTCACAACCATGCACGAAATACCTGACTCTTGCCTTATTTTAACAATTGCATTGCTGCGTGTCGAATGGCATGGATATCCGACGAACAATACGGCAGCCGGGAGCGACTTTTACATGAGATTTCACCTTTAAGCTGGATGGCCTAGATCCCCACATCAGACAAAGATGGATCAAGTATTCAGAGCAATCTCCACGTACCCAGTTATGTAATTTACTGTACTTACGATCTATTCCTACCAAGAGTCAATCATGATAATTCATCTTAGCGGAAGATGTCAGACAATTAACAAGTCACTTGAAACTTGCTACAAAATACAGTAAATTCTAGCTGGCATCATGAAACAAAAAAAAACACTGGAAAGTGGACTGTTGAACGTAGATACTTCGGCAACGGGGAAAGAAGAAATTTTGGAGGGGTTCACTTTCATTTCTAACGGTTTTTATGTACAAAATTCTATAACAGTGTTTTGAGGATATGTACAATTCACAACGAATAGCTCTGCCACCAAAATTCTTGATCCTATGGAACACATGTAAATGAAGTTAAGAAAAAGGCAAGTCTCGACTAGCTCGGTCAATGTGTCATGTAAGTTCTTGTTCCTCTATGTGAGTAACCAACAAACTCTTCCTAACACCTGCTGGAAAACCTCAGCCATTGTCCTTTTAGTTGCCAAACCTCTTGGCAATTATGGGTCGGACGTCATCAGCAACAGCAAGCGTCTCCAGGAATGGAATCAGCTGAGGTAACCCCTCATCAAAGGGGTTGTTATACCAGCTCTCTATGGGTATACCATTATTCACTTGCAACTGGAAAACCTGTATACACAACACAGAATAAGTACCATAAGAAACGGATAGCCAAAGTGCAAGCCTCCAAACGGAAATGTTGGTTAAGGACACTTTGGAAGATTTAATCCTACTACTATGGAAGTACTGAGTGAGAGAGGTGCTGAGAATTAATCATAGCAATTTACCTGCGGAGTGTTGTCAATTATGGCAACCTTTGCAAGGTCAACTCCAATAACAGTCAGATCTTTTGTGTAGCCACTTTCCGTAAATACACATGACTCACGGAAAAAACGCTTCGAGAACAATGTGTTCTCTGGATCGAGCCTGTCAAGCAGCTGGTCTGCATAAACACTTTGGCTTGCTGTGAATATAACAACATCAAACATCTCAGCCATCTTCTGGAGGAACATATGCAAATGTGGTCTCTTCCTCACATATACCAGATGTTCTTTCATACCAAAGGACACTGGAAAAGAAAAATCTGCATCATCACAGTGCTCCATAGTTGAATGAACAAGGGTTTCTGCACAGGAAGAATCAATACATTATTCTCAATGGCAAGCAACAAGTTACCAAACAAAGCAAGTATTTTCATGCTAGCAACGTACCATCCAAATCAAGCACAAGAGTGACCTTCCTGGCCCCTTGCTCTTTAGATACACAAGCAGCATTTGAGCTCAACTCGGTATAATCAATAAGATTAGGTAAATCCTCCTCATCCATATATGGATTAAGCCAGTCTAAAACCTCAGAATGGCTAAAGCACTCCCCACCAGAGTTATTAAAGCACATATCCCCTGGTGATGGGCATGGTTCATTGCCAATGCCACCTTCCACGGTGCTTTCATTAAGTGGAAATACTCCGCATATGCCACTCATGTCTATCAATGAATCAATGGGTACAAATTCATCACAAAATGTACTGTAACTAGCCAGGAGACCAGTTGGAACATCAAATAAGAAAGGAAAAGCATCATCAGGATTATAAATATCCAACAGGCTGCAATCCAGGTTTGAGCCCAGGCTTTTCTCATGATTATTGACAGCACAGATATCCTGTGCTGCAGAATTTACATCTTCATCTGCAAACTCTGCAATGCAAAATTGTAAATGAATATACATGTGCACAGTGGGGCCCAAATGAATATAAATGAATATCTTGTGCTGCAGAATTTACATCTTCATCTGCAAACCTTGTTTGTGAGCATATCAAATGTGTTCTATAAAACATTGAATTTGGCGGCTGTGTATTTTTATACGTGACAAATAGACATTGGCCGTGAACAAAACTTATCACCTAAACTAGCCAGATTAGTTACAGAAACTGCTCGAGGGGTAAGGGGGTACTCTTACCTTTATCACCGGTGTTCACTACATTTGACTGAGATTTGCCGTCATCATTATTAGATAAGGAATCAGGCTCCAAATTTGGTGGAACAACAGTTTCAGATATTAAATCCTGCATATCAATAGGATAAATCTTAGGCTGCAGAGGTTTTTCCAAAAAAAAAATGAAAATAGTGATGCTGATATATAATGTTGGGATTTCAGAAAGAAAATGAGCATGAGACATGACCAAAAAAAGCAACAAAGCAAACCACTACCGACCTTAAGATGCTACATCGAAGTTCATATCCTAATATAGCAAATATCAAACAATGGTGACATTCTAGAGCCTTTACAAGATATTTGAGGCATTTAAGCATTTAATCATTTAATCTGAACAAGTTGATGTAGAAGGTGAAATGGCAATAGGCAACAGGTAAATTCCATCATCCAAAGTTCTAGTTAGAAATTGCACCCTTTTTCACTTGTCATCGAATTTGGAAATCGGCAATGATAACTTGCTGAAAGCAATCATCCAAACATATTAACAAGAAAACCAAAAAGAAATTTAAACATCCAATTAATGTTGTCAGGCAATCATCAATTGGGATGTAAGCAAGCTAACATCAAAAGAACATTCAACTTGACCAAGTACCGAACAGTAGTCTAAGTGGTAATATTACAAACAATGGAAGCAATGTGATAATTTGGCAGTTGAAATACAAGAGGCCACTAGATATTTGTATTGAAATCAAAATGATTAAACACAAGGATAAGTGCACAATATTTTATCACCGAGTCAAGTTTGAGATCAGATGATGTAGCAATACCTTCAGCAGAGCAACGGATGTTCCTCCAAGTACAGCATGCAAGCCAGAAAATTCTGTAACCCTAATATCCTGGCCAGCTAGTTGAGTTGTCGACTCAGGCTCTGAAAAAAGAGAGATCATCAATCCATATAAAATATACACAGGTACACTAACCTTGAATTATCAACCATGCGCAGTGTATTGCTCTACTTTGTTTACAAATATTACATGTAAAAGTAAACAAATCAATGGTAAGACACAACCAACTAATCTAGCTATCTACTGTATGTTTACAGATAATACTCCTTCCGTTTCTGAAAGATTGAAACCAATATCTTTCCCCAACACTTGTCAACCTGCTAATCTGAAGGCAAATTTCCCCCAAATACCCCTATTAATTTTGCTCCATGTTATAAATTCACAGTCGTGCTTACAATATTGGTAGAGCGTTTTATGGTTCAACTTTACTGAAGCCATATCTTGATATGTGTGATTTGGTCATACAGTGCCAAGTACTTAGAAACAGGACTAGAGGAGTATCTCCTGAATATACTGCTAAGGACATACGTAGTTGTCAGAATTCCAGTCAAGGGTACACATTCAACACCAGCATAGATAACTAAGAATGGACATTGGAGCTAACTTGGAAGGTTTTTTCTATTTGAAACATAGGGAAATATCTACGCTCAATATATTTTATTCATAAGAGAACAAGACACCTATGCAGTCACCTCTTCTCTTGAAAGAGCAACCATGCAGTCACTTACCATCCTGACGGTCCTTGTAAGACGAGTTCAACACAAATGCCTGCTCGAACTCATCAACTTGAAAATTCAAGATTTTCATCGATTTCATGGATTTGGTGTCAAACTCATTCGCGAAAATGTCATCATCAAACTTCCTCTTCATTCTCAGTGCTGGCATCTTGATCAGCAGTTCAGAGTGCCAAAGCTGTCTGCACATCCATTACAGAAGTTAAAAAATACAACTTTAAAAAAGGAAGAGAACAGTGGGGCCCAACATTCACAGATATAAGGAAACAAAACCATAATAGTTTAATGAATACATGCCATGCCAACATTTTTACCTACCCTGTCAGGTTACTAGTGAAAAAGGAAAAGAAAAAAAATACTTCTGCCTATCCTTATTCAGCATGGACTAACGAGTGTATAATGTGTATTGATATTAAACAAAACCCTAAACCCATGGTATTTTGCAGAATAAAGAAAGAAACATCATCATGCTTCTGTGACATACACACCAAAAGCGAACAAACCTCGTTAGTGACTATACTAAGATGGCGCGTAGGTCTGATGTTACTTGAAAGTTTTCAAACTAATGCATGGGCAGCATTAGCATTCATCTCACAGCATGTTAGTGACCCAAGCAGCAAACGTGGCACGGTGTCTACTGGTGAGCTAATATTGTGTACCACTCCAATTCTCCTTACTTACCCTCCTAGCACATACAAATAGAGCAATGCCAACAATATGTGCGCAACAAACAGGTTTAACATAAAAAGCGTCCTATCGGTCCAATTTTTGTCACAATTTTCAGTGAAAACATACAAGATTACCAAAAGATGAATGCACATTGCAATTTTTCCCACACCTTAAAACCTTCAGCATTGTGCAACATTGCTTATGCCAATACTAGACAGGGTCGATAATATAACCCAAACCCCAAAAGTCCTGCCTTTGAGCAAAAGTCTTGCTGTCTCACACAGTTTGCGCTCTTAATCACATGTTTCCGCAACTGCTACTTTATTTACGCAAAAGCAGTATCCTTTTACCAGCAAAGCAGGAGGGAACCGACAGAAACCGTTAGACTGGTTAAGTTAGTGTAGCTTATTTCTTCATTTGCACAAGCAAACACACAAACCTAGAAGTATGACGTACTTGTGTTCTAGTATTAATTACTAACATTGAGAAGCATCAAACGTTAGCAAAATTTTTGCATGTAAGCTGCAAGCTAGAGTAAGAGATTTCAGGACAAAATCATCTGCGTTGCCAACATACTACAGCAAAAGAATTACTTTTGGAGCTAGGTCAACAGCAAAACCCTCTAGCAAAATAACGAAGGGCATCCAATACCTAAGTTCTGTTTTAGACGGAAGGCTTGAAATGAGTCTGACTTCATAAAAGCCATAGCCGGTCAAGGAGTACAACGCAGATCTACAAAGGTAGCAAAACATCTAGGTTAAGCAGCAACAAGGTAAGATGGGGTAAACTAAAACGAGAACCCAAACCCTAGAGGAGAAGAACAAGTAAATTTAGACAGAGGGGAATATTTCCATTAAAATTGTTTCCTTGACTGGAGGGATGTTCCCATTAGATTCTCTATAAAACACAGTACTCCAATTTAAGGGGGTACCAAAAGTGAGATTACTACAAACAAACCCTACAATATCTGACTTGAAACACTCAGATCGCCGCTGTGCACTAGAACCCCACAAACTATCTAGTCGAATTAGAGATTTAGCTAGAAATTACACGGTGGGTGCGATTCCGACAGAAAGAACCACCAGAGTAGCCAAAGCAAAGCAGCAGAGCCCAACCCGACGGAAGAAAAATAGAAATCCCCAACTAGAAGGAAGATGCAAGGGTTTCCAAACAAGCGTCGCCAACTCTCAGAATCTAGCGGGTGCGTGAGAATCAAAATCCCGCGTGTTTCTAGCCGGATTTAGAACCCGGCGCTTCAAATTCCCCGACTTACTTCCCGACAAATCGACCAAAACCCAAACCCCCCGGCCTGGAGAGAACAAGGGAATCAATTCCCGCGGCATCTCCGCGAGCCAAAAACTCGAGACGAGGCCCCAGCACGCTAAACGGAGACGAATTCTACCGAATCGAGCAGAGCTACTACCAGTCGCTGCCATCCATCCCTAACCGAGGAGGACCGAATCCGGGAGAGGAGTTCCGCAGAGCTTACCGAGACGGGACGATGCTGCCGCGGGTAGCTCCGGCGCGTCCTCTCTCTCTCCCTCTCTCTCGGCCTCTCCCGGAGGCGGACGGAGGGAGGAGAGAGGAGGGGGAGGGAAGCCGGTGCGCGCAGGCAGAGAGGAGGGGGAGACGCACCGGAATCACAAGAGGGCGGAGAGAGGAGAATTATGAGGGCTCGGTCTCCGATTTGGTATAGCCCGTCTCCACTCGTCTTCGACGGGTTCACTGACCGGTGGGCCGCGTACGCGGCCCGGGCCCACATGTCATGCCGCCAGGGACAGCTGTGGCCGGCCGTGTCGTGCCTCCCGAATTTTTTTTTACTTTTTTTTTGGTACGGGGTGTCAGTGAGGGGGTAGGCTGCGCTGAGATGTGCGGATGGGATTACGGTGGTCTGAGAGGGCTTGCGGCTTGGAGTAGGCTTGTCAGGGCCGACATGTCATAGGGAGGGTTGCGTGTCGGGGTTGGTGAGGAAGGGTCAAAGCCCGGAGGGCACGCGGACGGAGCGGATGGAGGGCCGGAGGCGGAGAGGGGGGATCCCGGCCGTTGGATGCCCGGGTGACTGCGGTCTGAGTCATCGTTCGTCTCGCCCATCACCTCACCGGCGAGGAAAGATAGGCGGTGCGCTGCACCCTGTCGCACTCGCACGCGCGCGCACCCGACCCGCCATTCCGAATGTTTCCCGCCCCGTCGTGAAAAATGCACAGAACTGAATGGGTTGTGCTATGTCCTTAGCCCAACTACAATGGGGGACCCATTTCGTCCGCGGACGTCCATTTGGTTCGGCGTGGATAAAAAAGCCGGCCCAATGCGTCGACCCAAACGGACGCGCGTCCGCTTTCGTCCGCCTGCCGACCCATTTTCGATCATTTTTTAGTCTGATTTACGTCGACGCGGACACAAAACGAACGCGCGCTCGCCCTCTTTCCTCACCGGGCCCGCTGGTCGATGGCACAGTGGATTCACATCCTCGTCCGCCTGCTACGTCGCCGACGCCGCCGGCCATTTTTTTCAGTACATAGATAGTTCTACCGCACACTGATAAAAAGAAAAGACCACTACTCGTCGATTTCTAACTCCGACTCGGTAATGTCCTCCTCCGATGTCTGAATGTAGGCGCCAGCATACGCCTCGTCTTCAAAGTCCCAACCCGCCGTTTCTCGTAACTTCAGTTTTAATTGAGTTGCCTGCTTCCGCAAACGCTTGTCCTCCTGATAGGCGGCTCGCTCCCTCCTCCTCGCGTCCCTCTCCGATATCAATTGCTTGTAGAACTAGCGCTCGTCGACGATGTCCTGTGGGTAGCCTCCGCGCCACACCACCAAGGCTTTCACGTCCTTCTCTGCGATGGCGAGGCGACGCTGCCGCCTCCGGTGGACACGACGATCCTCGTCGGTGAAAAGCCGCGAGAGAGGCGCCAGATCCTGCGCCCGCTGGCTCGACACGTTGGGAAAATTCATATCCCGACGAGGCCTCAGGAGGCGCCACGCCGCCGCGTCGTGCGCGCAGGCCGCCTCCTCTGCGGTATCAAAGGTGCCGAGGACGAGACGTTTCTCGTGAAACCAGATCTCGGTGGAGAAGGCGCCGGAGCGGCGCTCGCGGACTCCGCGAAAATCCGAAGCGCCCAGACGGCGGATCGACATGGTGGCGCAGAGGCGGCGAGAGTGGGCGGCCGACAGAGTGTGGAGGAAGCGCCTTCTTTATAGCGAGCGCCGGCCGCGGCACGCGCGTGAACCTTTCCCGCGCGCTAGGCCACTTTCCCCCGCGCGCTGGAGCGCCAAAATCAGGGTGACGGCATGATGTTAAACGCGCACGGTCATGAAATGGGTCGGCCCGTTGGGCGCACTGCCGACCCAAAATTAAAAGAGGGCGGACGACGGGCGGGCGGCCGACCCAAACGGACAAAAACGTCGTCCGTTTGGGTCGGCCCGTTGGAGTTGCTCTCACTACTCTCAGGCCAACTCCACCGCGTGACCCAAATCGACCCCAAATCTCAAATCGTCTGTTTGGGGTAAAACGGACAAACCAAACGATCCAACGCATAGGAGCATACAGACATTTCGTACGGTCTATGTCCGCTTTTGCCCCATTTCCATACCAAAGTTGCTCTCGGTTTGGGGCCAAAGCGGACAAAAAGCGGACGTCTTCGCGTTCTTGTCGTCCGTCTGTGTCCGCCCTCGACCCCACCTGTCACTCTCTTCTTTTCTGTACCTAGCCCACCACGCGCACCCATCACCATGACGCATGGCGCTGCGGGCACGAGAGCACGGAGCGGCGGGCGCTCTAGCGGCCAGCCCCGCCTCTCACTCCCTGCGCGCGGCGGCGCCGAGCACGCGGCCCCATCGCGCCTTGCTGGAGTTCTTCGTGCCCTCCTAGGCCTCGCCGGAGTCCGAGCTATTTCGACCGTTTCGAGCATCCCCTCGCCGTTCCTCCACCTCCTCTGCCTCCCCCTTTTCACCATGAGCCACCCCACCCCCTCAGCCCTCGCCGGAGTAGCCCACATCGTCGTCAACCGCCACCACCCACCCGCCTACTGTCCTCCCATGGTGCCGCCCGTAGCCGTCGTCCCGCTCCTTCCCGGCGGCCCCTTCGCCTCTGAACGGGTGCGGCCCGGTCTCCGCACCCGCCGGTGGCCTCAGTTTGGCTGGAGACGGTCGCAGCAGGCCGGGCCCCTCCTACGCCCCTCCCCTGCTTCCCCTGCTCTGTCCTAATCGGGGCACGAGTAGGAGGAGGAAGACGACGAGGCACGATCGGGGCACGAGCGGGCGCTACGGCGGGCATGTAGTCGTCGGGCGCGACAGCGGGCATGCGGTCGCGACGGGAGCGAGGGCGTGCATGAGAAGAAGCGGCCGCGGGCGGCGTCAAGTTCGCTATGCCTGCTACGTGTTCGAATAAATGACGAGGACGGACAGCTGGTGAAATGGGATGAAAATGGGGGTAGCAGCATTGGGTGCAGCGAGTTTGTCCGGCCTCTGTCCGGCGTTTGTTCTCCCTATTTCTACCCCATACGGACAAAATCCGGACAAAATGGGTATAGATTTGGGTCACGCGGTGGAGTTGGCCGTATATTCAACTACTCTCAAGTTTTTTTTTCTGCAAACCCAAATTATATATTAAAGATTCATCAGAAGTACAAAACATTTTAAACATAATAAAAACTACATCAAGGTCTATGACCACTGAACGACCACTGTCGCCGGCAGAACGAGCTGCTGATGTGTTGTTGACATTGCTCTTGTATCAAAATTAGTTTGACCTCGTCGATGATAGTCGAGAAGTCTTTGTGCAAGTGCCCCTAAGGACCAGCATCCTGGAGTCGCGGTCGTAGCCGTTGAAACTTTGAATCGATGTGAAGAACATGACACCAAATCTCGTCGTCGTGTACACACGACGATAAAACCTAACCTTGCCGCCCCGAGGATCTAACAAGAATCTACGCGAGACCTACGTCTAATCCGCCCCGATGAGCGCACATGAGGACGATCGAAGCGCGAAAGACTGTCTCAAGTCTCAAGTTAACTACAAACTTCAACAATTATATTGTCCTTGTGCTCTAGAGCATGCTATCGATGTTGATCTTTTGGTCACAATTGCAATATAACGTTGGTGGCAACCTTAGTCATTGATCGTTCATCCGATATCGCGCAAAACATCGGACATCGTTGTTTCCTACCCGACAACGACTCGTTTGCTTTAATTTCTGCCTCACTCTGCTTTCACATGCTCATGTACTGTATTGGGTATGAAGCCCCTCTTTCTTGTTCATTTGGATCATCTCTTCTGAGTTTGGGTTAAACCCTAGCCATTCATGATGTTTTATGTTGTTTGTTGTTCATCATTTCCAATATAAACCTCATGATGGTGGATTTCGAACCCAAATTCTCTAGATATTAGCGTGAAAGTTTAGTTCAGTTTCACTCCTAACAATTGGGATCTACAGCTAGTCGATTCTCGACAGCGATTGAAATCTAAGGATGAGTAGGGGTTGGTGTAGGGACGAAGTATGTCTACCAGAGGGGGGTGAATGGGAGTTTTGAAATTTCTTTCGAAAATATCAAAACTCTCATAACCCAGCAGCGGAGCGAATGAAAACAGAGTACAGTGAGCGACAAAAAACTATCAAATGGAAACTAAAGCATGCATGGAGGCAAATCACATAGTTGAAACAGTACGAATGTAAAGCGGAGGAACAGATGTAACCAGTGATGCTCGATAGTGATAGAGAATTTGTTCGACCAGTCCTGTTGGGGAACACAATATTTCAAAAAAATTCCTACGATCACGCGAGATCTATCTAGGAGATGCATAGCAACGAGAGGGGAGTGTGTATCTACGTACCCTCGTAGACCGAAAGCGGAAGCGTTAAGTAACGCGGTTGATGTAGTCGAACGTCTTCACGATCCAACCGATCAAGTACCGAACGCACGGCACCTCCGCGATCTGCACACGTACAACTTGGTGACGTCCCCTCGAACTCTTGATCCAGCTGACGCCGAGGGAGAGTTTCGTCAGCACGACGGCGTGGTGACGGTGATGATGAAGTTACCGGCGCAGGGCTTCGCCTAAGCACTGCAACGATATGGCTGAGGTTTGTTTCTGTTGAGGGGGGCACCGCACATGGCTAAGAGAAACTTTGGTGTGCCTTTGGGATGCCCCCTTCCCACGTATATAAAGGGGGAGGGAGGAGGAGGCCGGCCAGGGGGAGGAGGCGCGCCATGGGGGGGGGCAATCCTACTCCAAGTAGGATTCAGCCTCCCCCCTTTCCTATTCCAACAAGGAGAAGGGAGAAGGTGAGGGAGGAGAGAAGGAAAGGGGGCCGGCCCCCCTAGTCCAATTCAGTTTGGGCTAGGGGCCACGCGCCCTCCCTTGGCCTGCCTCCTCTCTTCCACCAATAGGCCCATGAGGCCCAATAACTCCCGGGGGGTTCCGGTAACCCCCCGGTACTCCGGAAAATACCCAATACACCTCAGAACTGTTTCAGTGTCCAAATATAGTCTTCCAATATATCAATCTTTATGTCTCGACCATTTCGATACTCCTCGTCATATCCGTGGTCTCATCCGGGACTCCGAACTACCTTCGGTACATCAAAACACATAAACTCATAATACCGATCGTCATGGAACGTTAAGCGTGCGGACCCTACGGGTTCGAGAACTATGTAGACATGACCGAGACTCATCTCCGGTCAATAACCAATAGCGGAACCTGGATGCTCATATTGTCTCCCACATATTCTACGAAGATCTTTATCGGTCAAACCGCATAACAACATACGTTGTTCCCTTTGTCATCGGCATGCTACTTGTCCGAGATTCGATCGTCGGTATCATACCTAGTTCAATCTCGTTACTAGCAAAGTCTCTTTACTTATTCCGTAATGCATCATCCCGCAACTAACTCATTAGTCATATTGCTTGCAAGGCTTATAGTGATGTGCATTACCGAGAGGGCCCTAAGATACCTGTCCGACAATCGGAGTGACAAATCCTATTCTTGATCTACGCCAACTAAACAAACACCATTGGAGACACCTGTAGAGCATCTTTATAATCACCCAGTTACTTGTGACGTTTGATAGCACACTAAGTGTTCCTCCGGTATTCGGGAGTTGCGTAATCTCATAGTTATAGGAACATGTATAAGTTATGGAGAAAGCAATAGCAATAAACTAAACGATCATAGTGCTAAGCTAACGGATGGGTCTTGTCCATCACATCATTCTCTAATGATGTGATCCCATTCATCAAACGACAACACATGTCTATGGCTAGGAAACTTAACCATCTTTGATTAACGAGCTAGTCTAGTAGAGGAATACTAGGGGCACTCTGTTTGTCTATGTATTCACACATGTACTAAGTTTCCGGTTAATACAATTCTAGGATGAATAATAAACATTTATCATGATATAACGAAATATAAATAACAACTTTATTATTGCCTCTAGGGCATATTTCCTTCAGTCTCCCACTTGCACTAGAGTCAATAATCTAGATTACACAGTAATGATTCTAACACCCATGGAGTCTTGGTGCTGATCATGTTTTGCTCGTGAGAGAGGCTTAGTCAACGGTTCCGCAACATTCGGATCCATATGTATCTTGCAAATCTCCATGTCTCCCTCCTTGACTTGATCGCGGATGGAATTGAAGCATCTCTTGATGTGCTTGGTTCTCTTGTGAAATCTGGATTCCTTTGCCAAGGCGATTGCACCAATATTGTCACAAAAGATTTTCATTGGACCCGATGCATTAGGTATTACACCTAGATCAGATATGAACTCCTTCATCCAGACTCCTTCATTTGCTCCTTCCGAAGCAGCCATGTATTCCGCTTCACACGTAGATCCCGTCACGATGCTTTGCTTAGAACTGCACCAACTAACAGCCCCACCATTCAATAAAAATACGTATCCGAATTGTGACTTAGAGTCATCGGGGTCAGCGTTAAAGCTTGCATCGACATAACCGTTTATGACGAGCTCTTTGTCACCTCCATAAACGAGAAACATATCCTTAGTCCTTTTCAGGTATTTCAGGATGTTCTTGACCGCTGTCTAGTGATCCACTCCTGGATTACTTTGGTACCACCCTGCCAAACTAATAGCAAGGCACACATCAGGTCTGGTACACAACATTGC